CCAAGTCGGCAGTGTTTCTGTTAATGAAACTTTCTTAAAAGCCTTGCAGCTCCTCTACTGCACATCACAGGAATCCACACCATTGGACAAGACAGTCCTGCAAAGGTGTTTCCTGGATAACCTCATTCTATTCTTGTCTCTGGGAAAATGGCTGAGTGGACCCATGAGTCCTAATACTCTTCAGCAAAACTTGTGTAGCTTCACCTTTGGCCTTCTCTCCAGAGACGCTTTCCTAGCAGTGAATCTCCTACCATTAGCATCTTTTGAGCTAGATCGACTACAAATTTCTTAAATCATCTTTTAAAAAAATGTGTTTTTACTAATAGCTCCTTTTATTTCCCTCTTTCCTTTTGCAATTTGTAGAAGGAGCAAAGACAAAACCAAACCACACCTTCAGTACTTCAGTTGGAAGCTCTTGAGCTAAATATGTAAGCTTATTGCTTACAAGTTCTGTTTTCCACAAACACAGGACAAAACTCAGCCAAGCCCTCTGCACAATCAAACAGGATTTGCTTTCTTACATTTTCCAATGATGACATGTTTTGCATTTGCTTCTAAACCATCACCAAGAGTAACTTCAGTGCTCATATTTCTACCAATTTTTTTTTATGACTACACATGCACGCTCTGTGATTAAAACGTTATCTACTGTCCTCCTCAATTTCTCCTATATTCTCAATTACAGAGCCTTTTACAGCCATAATTCTACTAACAGTCTTTTCAAGGCAATCTAAACTTTTTTCTTCAAAGTACCTCAAAATTAACTGAGTCTCTGCCCACTGCCCAATATCAGTCACTTGTATAAAAACATCCTACGTTTCAGTCCAAAAGTCTGCATTAGTTTCCTGTGGTTTCTGTAATAAATTATAAAAAAACTGGGTGGACTAAAAACACAGATCTATACTGTTACTATTCTGGATGCCAGAGAATAAGACAGGTATTGGTGATCTTCCCTCCAATAGCTCTGGGAAGGCTCACCTCCCTGCCTCTTCCAACTTCTGTTTTCCCAGCTTCCTTGGCTTGGGGTTACATCATCCCAATCCTACATCTGTATTCACAGTGCCTTCATTTCTGTGTACATCTCTCTTCTTCACATCTGGTTCTTGTAAGAACACCTGTCATTGGGTATGAGGCTCACCGGATAATCCAAGCTGATGTCCTCATCTCCAGATCGTTAATTTAATGACATCTGCAGAAACCCTTCTATAAATAACCTAATGCAGGTTCAAGGGGGTTGAATGTGGACCTACTGGAGGGAGGAGATTGAGCCCACTACACAAAGATTCTAAATTGATCTTTAATCAAGATACCCTTTCATGTTACCTGGGATCATGCAGAAAATTAGCTGAGGCACTTGGGAATTCGCCGTGAGTAGCAACTTAGTTGTGAGTTGAGTTCTTTCTCTAGAACTACCAGGACTGTTTCCTATGAAAGACTTGCCCAAGTTCACTGAAGACACTGGACAATCCAAGTGGCCTGCAAATGTGATAACCCTTCATTGATTTGTTTTCAAAAGCAGGCTCTCTCCCACAGTTGGGGTTACACAACATCCTAGTGTTAGTGTTTACCTTTAAAAAAGCAGGATCGAAGAACTTCCTAGCTTATTTGTTGTGACTTCTATTTAGGAAATTTAAAATAGTGCTCATCCTCAGTGAAGAAAATAAATAAAACAAATAAAAGCAATGAAACAAGCAAAAAATGAGTTAGTTCCTGAATATTTAAACCAGATGAGAAAAGAACTGAAAAGTCTTCAATTCATTTTGTCAAGTTAGCAATAATGGTAACACTAGAACACCATGATGGAAGTGCTCTACTGAAAAAGAAACCTGGATGCTGTAATTTACTTTGGAATGCAGGTGCCA